ATGTGCAGTTTAAGAATGTTTGGAGCATTCAAGAAAAAAAAACAAGCCCTAGCCCGTTTGGCTCTGTAGATAGAGCGTCAGCCTGTGGACCAAAGGGTCCCTGGTTCGATTTTGGTCAAGGGCTTGGTCAAGGACATGTACCATGGTTGCAGGCTCCTCCCTGGCCCTGGGCCCTGGTCAAGGCGTGTGCCGAAAGCAACAAGTCCAAGAGTTTCTCTCACATCGATGTTTCTCTCTTTTCCTCTCCCACTCTCTCTAAAAATCAATGGAAAAATACCCTCAGGTGAGGATTAACAACAACAAAAAAGAAGAACCCCCCCGCCCCCCATAATCTTATACCTTATGATAGACAGCTAAAGGGGAGTGGCCTAGGCCTAGATTCCCAAGGTTCTCAAAAGCCTGTCCACAGGGTTGGAGCTCACGCCTGGGGAAACTCTTAGGTTTGTGAGCAGAGAGAGTGACGTGATGAAAATGGTGTTTGGGGGAGATGGCTCTTAGGATGACCGTGGGGAGGTGCTGGGGAAAGAGGTAGCGAGGACAGGGCCATGGAGTGGGACATCTGACATCGGTGAGACTTGGTCGAGGCGGGAGGCCCTCCGGCCTCTGCGTGGCTGCCTTGACAAGGGTTTCCAGCGCTCCCAGCCTGGTGGGCGCTCAAGTATTGCCTGTGGCTTTGGGCGGGGTGTCCGTGGGAGAAAGGGAGGGAAGGGGCCTCAGGTTCGTGGGTCTGGTGATGCGCTGGCCTGCGTCTCAGACTGTGACCCAGGCTGGAGCCTGTCTGTTCCCTGGTCTGTGCGAGGCGAGCGTAGCTGTGAGTGCGCTCAGAGCGGTCCCCTGAGCCGGCACCTGAAACCCATGTGTTCCGTCACCTTCTTTCAACCTCTTGTTCTGTCTCCAAAGTTTTATCTGTTTCTCGGAACCAATTGTCTCTGATTCACAAACCCATTTGGATGGGAAATGCTTATTTCTAAATGGTTTCTGTTTCATTAGGCTTCGAGCCTGGTTTTAAAAAGGCTTTTGCCAGATGAGATTGGTGGAGAAGTGATTTTGACATAATCAGCTTCTTATGATCTTCTCGGATAAGTTATGTTTTGAGATTGGTGTCTCTGATGTATTCATTTCTAGAATAAATATATGAGTGCCCGTTACGTGCCCGGCACTATTTCAGGCGTTGGGAATATAACAGGGAACAAAGAAAAACCTTACCTACATGGAGCTCCTATTCTAGTGTGTGTGGGCTTATAGACAATAAATAAAATATAAAGTATGAGAGATGGTGAAAAGTATTTTGGAGGAAAACAAAGCAGGGATGGAGGACAGGGAGGCTCGGTGGGAGGGGAAGGCCTCACTGATAAAAAGACCTTTGAGCAGAGATCGGAGGGAGGTGAGAGGGAGCCAGGCCGTTATCTGAGGGAGGAGCCATCAGCCTGGAGAGAAAAGCAAGACAGCTAGTCCTTAAGGCCAGAGAATGCTCGAGAGTTTGTGGAACAGCCAGGAAAGCAGTGGCGGGGCCGAGTGAGGAGGAGGAAGGCCGGGGGAGGAGGCCGACGCTCCCAGTGGGGCCCCGAGTGTGGGTGAGATGGGAGCCTGCGGGGCTGTGCAGAGCTCAGTGGCCTCAGCCTCTTTGGGGAGGGTGCCCTGGCTGCTGGTGATGGAAGCAGGGGGGCTTAGCTCTCCGCGAAGAGTGGGCATCAGCATCGGATCTGGGAGCCTCTCCCAAGACGGCTGCTCGGCCGCCCAGGACCCGGGGTCCACTGGAGCACATGTGTGGCTTCCGGGACTCACTCAGTGCCCTTGTTCCTAACAGCTCAGGGACTGTCACGGCTTCGGACCCCTGGGGCCCACTCCACTCCCGAGTCAGTCTCCAGGTGGGCCCACGCGCCTGCATCGTTAAGCCTTTATGGGTGGCTTTTGAGGCCGGTGGTCCGTGGTCTAAAGACAGTTGTTTTTTATCCCAGACAGCATCGGTCACCTGGGTGACCCCCCTCCCTAAAAATTCTGATTTAATTGGTCTGAGGTGGGGTCCAGCCGTAGGCAAACTACGGCCGGCAGACAGGATCCGGCCCGTTTGAAATGAATAAAACTAAAAAAAAAAAAAAGACCGTACCCTTTTATGTAACGATGTTTACTTTGAATTGATATTAGTTCACACAAACACTCCATCCATGCTTTTGCTCCCGCCCTCCGGTCCAGTTTAAGAACCCATTGTGGCCCTCGAGTCAAAAAGTTTGCCCACCCCTGGATTAGGCATTAGTATTGCTCCCTAGATGTGCATCCAAGGCTAGAATCGCTCTTGGAGGGTTACGTAAGCCTGATGCCTGGCATTTGATGGAGCGATTTCAATGGGTAACTGTGAGTAGGAGACCTCAGCCTGTCTGAGAAGGCGAGGGGAGGCCCGTCCCCTGGCAGGCATAAGAGGAGTCTTTCACAGCAATGAAAACTCTTCAGTGTATGTGCTGTATCTCATACTCACCTCTCTGGGCCTTCATTTTCTGTTTTTTTAAAATATATTTTTATTGATTTCAGAGAGGAAGGGAGAGGGAGAATTAGAAACATCGATGATGAGAGAAACACCGATCGGCTGCCTCCCCCACACCCCCCCTCCCCCACTGGGGTCTGAGCCTGCAACCCAGGCATGTGCCCTTGACTGGTATTGAACCCCTCAAGCCTGCAGGCCGATGCTCTATCCACTGAGCCAAACTGGCTAGGGCTGGGCCTTCATTTTCTTGCTACAGTCAGTGACTTACACTGAAAGGTTTCCCAGGGTCTCTGGCTCTGACAGTTCTTAATCTTTCTGGTCCTAGAAGGACTTCTAATCTGGAACGATGTTCTAGGACAGCGGTCGCCAGCCGGTGGTCCGCGAGGTTCGAAGGGTTGGTGACCGCTGTTCTAGAGCACTGTTTTCTAACCGTGGTCTTCCAACACCTTCAGGTGTGTCATAATTATGGCAAAGGCTGTGGTGACTGCCTTTGTACCACCTACAACGGCACCTTGGGAAGGCGAGGGTGTTGGGAACCTGAAATGTGAAACCCGACCTCCTGGTTTACAATCCTGAGGGGAAGGGCCGCTTGGTCCTTGGAGGCCTGGAGGAGTCTGGGCTCTGGTCTTGGCCCCGCTCCCCCACTGGCCACTTCCTTGTGCCGTGGGAATCATGTTTTGTAAACGGTAAAGCTCCTATAAATCAACGCGTGTCTGGGGGTAGGGTGACCTGGGAGAAGCGGCCAGCTTGGGCCAGTGAGGCCTGGTGCTCAGGTGTGCCAGCTGCGCCCTGCAGCCAAAGCCTGTTAACCGGGTACAAGAGACGGTCCGGATAACCTGGCAGAGCCCAGTGGCCTCAGGAGCCAGGGTTAACCTGGAATAAATCACCGGGCACGCTCGCTCACTGGAGAGGCTCAGAACTGACCCGGACACCAGATGGGAGACACCGCAGCCCCTGCCCCGGCCCCGGGCTCTGACTTTGGTCCTCATTTGGACAGCACAGTGTCTGCTTGTTAGTTTATATTTTGAAATGTGAAGGTCGCAGTAAGAGGAGGAAAAAGTGTTTCTCTTTCTCTTCTGTAGAATTGGGATAATCACTTTTTGTCCCTTCCCCTCGAGATTCTTCCGCTAATATTGTCTAGATCTCCATTTAGAATCCAAACTAAATTCTGGTTTGTCAAAGTTAAGACAGAAATGAAGTTCGGCAAGGAGTGCAGGGATAGGATTCGAGTGAGCAGAATTAGGAATGAGGCTTTTTCGTTTGACGTTTGTGGGTACAGGTAGCTGCTGGACCCTTAACAAGGTCTCCCCCAGCTCTGGCCGGTTAAACGGGAATCTGGGGCTGGGGCCAAGCTTCCATTGTTTGCAAAGTGCCCGAGGTGACTGATGTTCAGCTAGAGTTGAGGACCACCTAGTTGTTGTTCTTTTTATTTTTTAGTTATTATTATTTTTTAATCCTCACCCGAGGATATTTTCTATTGATTTTTAGAGAGTGGAAGAGAGAGGGGAAAGGCAGAGAGAAACATCGATGTGAGAGAAACACATTGATGGGTTGCCTCCTGCACGCGCCCTAACCAGGGCCTGGGCCCAGGAGGAGCCTGCAACCGAGGTACGTGCCCTTGACCAGAATCGAACCCGGGACCCTTTGCTCTGCAGGCCAACGCTCTATCCACTGAGCCACACCGCTAGGGCTAGTTGTTTTGTTTTTTTAAGTTTATTTATTGCTTTCAGAGAGAGAAGAAAGGAGGGAAACATCGATTTGCTGTTCTTATTTATGCCTTCATCGGTTGATTCTTGTATGTGCCCTGACTGGGGATCGAACCCGCAACGTTGATGGAGCGGGACGGCCCTCTAACCACTGAGCTACCCGGCCAGGGCAGAGGACCACCTCGTTTTAAAAATGGGTTCTGCCAGTTTTTCCCTTGTCTTCCCTCATTTGCCTCCCCTCCTCAGTGGTGTCCCTTCCTGCCTCTCCCCACCTGTGACGTTTCCCCGCTTACCTGGCCCTTGGTCCGTGCCCACTCCTTGACCCTGTGCTTCCTCTGCTTCAGCAGGCTTCTGAGCACTGGAGAGTGAGCTGTGTGGCACGGTCAGCGCCCCTCATGTACCTTGTCCCTGTCCCTTGTGCATGCTTCCAGTCAGCCTGACAGTTAGGGGTTCGGCAGTCTGCTGGGGCACTCTGAAAATCTGTCAGATAAAGCTTGCTGGCCACTGAGGTTGGTGGCATAACAATGAACAAACACGTGTTTGTTGCGTTTAAGACATTGTAGTAACAGCTTTACAGATGTTAACTCTAACCTCCATAACACTCGCTTATATGCGGGGACACAGACACAGGTATGAAGAGACCTGCTCGAGGTCACATGGCTAGAAGGTAGTCAATCCGGGATTTGAACCCAGGTTGAGGCTGCACCGCGAACCTCCACACTGGGAGGGGCAAGGAGGGAAAGCCTGGTGCTGGGACACGCTTTGTCTTTGACTACATTTGGGGCTGCATTGAATTTATGTTGGAGGGTTTGACTTACACTATGACTAGTATCATCATCATCATCTTAACCTACTTTAACATTTACCTTCAGGCCTATTTAAAAGACTTTTTTTTTCTCTTTTCTTTCTGCAGGTGGTGTTTGGTCACTAAGCCATGTGCCTAGGTGAAAGTGACTCCTTTCTCCACGGCTCTGCACCCCCAGCAGCGCTCACCACACCCTTGTTTGCAGAGCCTCACTGAGGTATGCAGTCCAGGCTGACCTGGGCCAGCCTTCAGGGGCTGAGAGTTTGGACGCAAGTGATTTTGTTGTTGTTGTTGCTGTTCCTTGGTAGTTACTATTTGAAATTATAGTCAAGCAGACAGGAGAGAGATGAGCATTCTAACCGTTTTCGGCACTGTGCAGTGGCATTAAGAACATTCACATTGTTGTGAACCATCACACCACCATCCACTTCCATTACCATTTCATCGTCTCCAACGTAAACCCTGTGCCCATTGAACATGAACTCTCCCTGGCCTGGCCGGTGTGGCTCAGTTGGTCGAGCGGCATCCCATGCACCAAGAGGTCTCCAGTTCGATTCCTGGTCAGGGTATATGTCAGGGTTGCAGGTTCAATCCCTAGTTGGGGGCATGCAGGAGGCAGCCAATCGATGGTTCTTCCCCTGCCCTTACTTCTCTATCGAAAATCAATAAAAACATATTCTTTAAAAAACTCCTGCTCTCTCCTATTATACTCCCTGTCTGTGTGAATTTGACCACTCTATGTATCTCATATAGGTGCAGTCCTACAGGACTTGCCCTTTTGTGACTGGCTTATTTCCCTTAGCAGAAGGTCTTGGAGGTTTACCCACATGTAGCATGTGTCAGATCTTTATTCCTTTTTAAGGTTGAATAATATTCCCCTGTCTATTTATAGCACACTGTTTATCTAGTCATTTTTCGATGGACAGTCTGTTTGATCCCACCTTTTGTCTGTTGTGATTAATGCCGCTCTGAATATGGTGTACAAATACCTCTGAGACCCTGCTTCCAGTTCTTTCGGGTCTATACCTGGAAGTGGAATTGCTAGATCATGTGGTAAATTCTATGTTTAGTTTTTTTTGAGAAACCACCATGCTGTTTTCCATAGTGTCCGAACCGTTTAATATTCCCACCAGCAATGAATGGGGATTCCAATTTCTCCACAACTTCACTGACACTTGTTAGTTTCTGCTTTTTGTTTTTTAAATCCTCACCCAAGGGTATTTTTCCATTGATTTTTAGGGAGAGTGGAAGAGAGGGGGAAAGAGAGAGAAACATCGATGTGAGAGAAATATTGATTGATTGCCTCCTGCATGAGCCCCAACCAGGGCCCGGGGAGGAGCCTGCAACCAAGGTATGCACCTTTGACCAGAATCAAACCCGGGACCCTTTGGTCAGCAGGCCAATGCTCTATCCACTGAGCCAAACTGGCAATTTTCTTTTTTGTTTTTTAAATAATAATAGTCATCCGAATGGGTGTGACCTTGGTGATTATCTGGATGCACCCATGCTGTCCACTAAACAAGGGTCTGGTGCCGGTTGTGCTTAAATGCACAAACGTAGAGAAGATAAGATGATAAACGCCCATGTACTCCTCACCCGGATCAACGGTTATCAGCTCATGGCCGATCCTGCTGCATTGGTGTCCTCCCTCCCTGCCCTCTTCCTCTCGCCCTGCGCTATTTTGAGGCAGTTGCCAGACATCACATTGTTTTATCTGCAAGCATTTCACCATGTGTCTTAAAAACACAAGGGCTTTAATACTCCATTTTGTCTGATGGTAGAAGGGCACATAGGGCTGTTTCTTTGGATCTTATTCCCTGTCATCCCCTAGGGTCACTGGGCACATACACAGTGGGCACACGTGTGGGCTCCTATCTCCACTCTGGGTTGTTGGTGCAAGGCTGCCCAGCTGGGCCCTGCTTTCCTGCAGAAGGCCAACTGCCCTGAGGTCTGAGCAACCATCATCAAAGAGCCCACCTGGGTCTCAGCTGAGAAGGGAAGGAGGGAAGAAGGAGGGAGAGAGGGATGAGAAAGAGGCTGAGAGAGGAGGAGGGAGGGACGAGCAGGCATGGAGAAAGGGATGGGGACAGAAAGGCATGGGAAGGAGAAGTGTGTGGAGGTCTGAGAAAGAGAAAAAGAGAACACCGGAGAGAGAAACTCTTTTCTTTAAATCCTCACCCGAGGATATTTTTTCATTGATTTTCAGAGAGAGTGGGAGAGAGAGGGAAAGACAGAGAGAAATACCAATGTGAGAGAAACACATCAATTGGTTGCCTCCTGCACATGCCCTGACCAGGGCCCAGGATGGGGAGGAGCCTGCAACCGAGCTACGTGCCCATGACCGGAATCGAACCCGGCACTCCTCAGTCCGCAGGCCGACGCTCTATCCACTGAGCCAAACCGGGTAGGGCCTTGAGAAGTTTTACTTTGGATTCTCTCACTAGTAACCAAAATAAGCTTGTCAAATATCTACTGTCTTGCTGACAACCTGGTGACAACTTGGACAGAATTGCAGCCTGGGATCCCCGAGCCTGATGAGCCCCTGTGGCTGGGAGGGGGGGG